ACTTATAGCTTTTCAAAGTCAGTATTCCTTATTCTCCATTGACCTTTTGAACCTAGTAGACTTACTTTAAATGCTCCATCTTTCCTGATTACATCCCAATTCTGTTTCGACGCTTCGTATCATCAGTTCACACAACCATCATTTTACAATTATTCATTGTCGTCCATCTTATCTGTCACTCATGATAAACATTCAAGCTTATAACAAAATTTATTCTCGAAATAGACATAGGATATTTTGTGCTTCTATTTTGATGTAAATATATGTAAATATTTTATTGTATTACACGACACATAGGATATTTTGTGCTTCTACTTTGATATAAATATATGTAAATATTTTATTGTATTACACGACACAACAACAGCACACGGGTAGAAATTGTTACCAAAGCAACTAGGATGAAACCGTCGTCCAATGCTTCCAGGTTTTCCATAGTGGTCAAGCTTCAATTGACTCATGATCTCAACTATTGAAATTACTGCAATCTCCACAAAACCTCTCTACGATGATTCTCATCATATTCTCACTTATGACTGTCTCCAAGTGATGTTTCCTGGAATTGTAGTAAGACGCAGTAAACAGTTGAGTACAACCAGCTCTGTTGTGAGTTAGTAGCTCATTGAAGACCACGGTGTTATAATTATTTTAGTACACGGAATTTTCAATGCCACCTTATTTGCATATTATTAATAATCATATTTGTATGAAATAATAAATGCGGTAACGCATTTGTTTGTTTGAAAGCATGATTACATTTAGTCGATTTCATTTAGTTCTGTCCATATAAGTGTACAGAGAGAAACTATGAAATGCACTGTTTGAGACTATGTAGTTGACAATAAAAATCTATCAAACTCATCGTTATGTAACATTTATGAGATTAAACCCTATCTACAATAAACGTCTAGGGCCACGTTTTATATGCTCCTAACGAAAGTGTTTGACCTATCTCTTCTAAAGCCGATTTATTAATGAATAAAAATCATTCATAACATTATGTCTATCGTCTTGACACTAGTATCCCATATACACATTTGTAATATATATTTGTGAATTTTAAGGAATATCTCTACGTTTAACCAATATTAATGAACATGAATATGAATTTTATGTGAGCAACTATACCAAAGTCACTTCTAAGCGATATCCAATTAATTACTTTATTGTATGTGACTAACTAACTTCACCATACTGAAACTTATTACATGCTCACTAGTGACCATTTTCAAGAGGAAACTCCCGTAGTTCTAGTGAGAAGCTGTTGTCAGTGAAGCAAATCCTTTTCGTGTTTGAAGCAGTTACCCGCCAAAGAGAATGGAAGATGGTAGCGGAATGTTGTGGATTGATTAAGGTTATGTAATAATATCGTTGGATGCTGGATAAGTCGTCAAGAGGTCTAGATTTTGTGCTCATTGTATTTCCACGTGAGGTATCGGGGATGCTTACTGCTAAGGAGTCTCATACTGAGAAATAGCGGCCGTACAGCGATCCCAAGTTTCTAAATGATGGTCTAACAAAAATCGATTCATGACATCATTGTGATTTTCGTTCTATGTCCTTATTCTGTTTACATCGCCTCGTTTTTTGTGTTTTGAGTTATACTACTTATTATTATTTAATAACAATAGTTGAGATCATGAATCAATCAAAGCTTGACCACCGTGGGAAACCTGAAAGTATTGGACGACTGTTTCATCCTAGTTGCTTTGCTAACAATTTCTACGCATGTGCCGTTGTTGTGTGTCGTGTAATACTATTAAATATTTACACATATTTATAACATTTACTGCATTTATCATTATAATTACTTTCTCTCAATCAGTTATTATCAATTTCGCGGTCATTGAATCTTTATTTAAGTGCAATGGTTTCCATATTTGTTTTCTTCTGGTTAACGCTTTGCTCGTTGGTAAACGGCTGTCACGATTAGACACAGCTATCAGCTGTCACCTGCACTATCATATGTCATAATTATTCTTTATGTTATCATCGCGGAAAGCCAATTTTCTCACAGATTTACAGACGCTCTAAGCGCCATTGATACCTCACAAGTTGAGGTTTGCGACTAATTTCTTCCTACTCATCAATGAAGAAGCGCCTTTTAGACAAATCGTTGTTTTAGGAACTTCAGTTTCGCTCGTATTTCAGACGTGTGATCAGGCGTATGGTGTGGGGCCTCATATTTTGTTGTCATTAGATTGGACAATGTTTGTCGAAGGGCTCAATATTTATAATCACATAAAAATAAGTTACAGACATGCGATGAGTAATGGGATAAGAAGTGTACACACACCTTCGCGCTCATATAAAAACAGTCAAGATTGATAAGCGAATAATTAACAAGGTCAGAATGTGACTCAAGTAGGATGAACAGAATGGGCTAGAATAAGGTATATGAGCTTAATATAATAACCGACACCACAATGGTATATTAAAACTAATTATACCTATTAGTTAATATGATTCTAGTACTACAGGGTTAATGGTAAGTGTTATTACGTTGATCTGGCAAGATGAATCCATTTACTTGCATGTACTTACTTACTTTACTTACTTACGCCTGTTACTCCCAATGGAGCATAGGCCGCTGACCAGCATTCTCCAACCCACTCTGTCCTGGGCCTTCTTTTCTAGTTCCATCCAATTCTTGTTCATTTTTCTCATGTCTATCACCAATTCTCGGCGTAATGTGTTCTTTGGTCTTCCTCTTTTCCTTGCATGTAAACAGCTTATAATTATGAAACTTTTGAAAGATGATGAATTTCCGCCTACTATAATGTCAGTAGTTTGCTTTTAACAGAATCGATTATTCTGTTAAATAATTGTAATTCTGAGTTAAACAAAGTTGAACTGAATCACTTGTTGAAAGATAGTTTGAACACAATGCAAGCTAAACGATTACATACGGATTTTAATCATATAATGGAACAACATATTACTTTCAGAGAGATCTGACATTAAATAGAAATACCCGTTTGTAAAATCAAACAAAATGATTAGTACGAAGAAGAGTAATCTTCTCGTCAGAATAATTATCAAAGGTGCACAATCATAAGTATGTGCTTTCTTCAATGAATTAACTAACAATATATTTGTTAATAATAATAATAATGATTTACCGTAAAAAAGAGTAAAACAGAGGTGATCCAAATATAAGCACAAAATATCCATGTCTATTTCGAGAATAAATTTTGTTATAAGCTTGAATGTTTATCATGAGTGACAGATAAGATGGACGACAATGAATAATTGTAAAATGATGGTTGTGTGAACTGATGATACGAAGCGTCGAAACAGAATTGGGATGTAATCAGGAAAGATGGAGCATTTAAAGTAAGTCTACTAGGTTCAAAAGGTCAATGGAGAATAAGGAATACTGACTTTGAAAAGCTATAAGTAAAAAGCACGGTGAAATGTGTGTTTGAATAAGTTTTCTTTCATAAATACAAACTTGGAATGTTTAGATGTGCGGCGAAAGCTGCAGCAATGGAAAGGGAAGGGAGACTCAGTAGTTTTAATGAGTTTGTGTCGTGCTTATTGATTACATCGAGCTGTGAGTTTATTTTCATCGCATAGACTTTATTCACAGGGTAGTCGACTAGTGATCTTATTATGGATCCACTATTACTTGACTTACTGATCCGTGCAATTAAATCTGCATCAGATCCCACTTGTTTGTTAAAAATACTTCTATTCAGGTATGTAAGAGCTTCCACCTGTTGCTATGTGAGTGATCTGATCAAACCAAATAAATGTGAACATACATGGTTTTTGGTATTAGGAATTCGCATTCATATTTGTTGGCGAACCGAAAGACATTCCGTTTTCTTATGCTAATTAAAATCCAACTTCTAACCTAGAAATGTTAATGTTTTTCAAATACAGTATGATAAATAACTGTTTTAAAGATTACTAATTTTCAACTTTGTCTCGCGTTTCTCATACCTTATAATTGCATCAACTTTAAACAATGGAAAAAAATGACCTGAGAGAAGAATTCTTTCTTGTTATTCCTCACACTTTAAAGGATACATACTTATTCGATTCCTACTGCATATCATATTCCAAGTCACGGTTAATAGATAAAGTCTGTCTGACTGTCTATGCAATATAATTAGTTAGATGAATAAAGCATTTTCATCATCCAAACACCTTGAATACTTATGAGTGCATATTGAAAGAGCGATGTCGATGATTTATAACATATCTTGACATACATTGAAATGACTAGTTCTAAAAACGTAAAACACTTTGAATTATTCGGTTGCTAAGAGTGAACCCATACAATACTTCCTCTGTCATAAATGCTTTTACCTCTATACACCATAAACTACAATCAGTGATCGAAGAAAATGGTGTCCTTTCCAGCTATATAGGTTAGTGAGGCTGAATGGCTTATCTGGAAACTCATTAATTACACAGTACAATTATCGGGGCTTGATAACTGTTTTTGTTTTGATGTGAACAATGTGAATTTACAAAGAATCGACTAATCTTCATATTGCAAATTTTGTCAAGAATCTTTACATACTTCTGTGGCTGGAAAACTTGTTAGTTTATTTCTAACTACAATTAGTTTCGAATAATCGTAGTTAGATCAAAAGTTCTATTAAATATACAGAAATATTTCTATGATAAACAAACTCGAAAGAAAAGATTTCACAATTGTTTTACAATGTTTTATGCAAATAGGAGGCTTGTACAATATTCTGTTATTCACTTAATGTTTAATGATAAAAAATGATGAGTTTTTCTTTTCCTTCACATTGTTCATTCATCCCATATAACATGTACTCATTTCAGAGGGAGATAATTCATGACAAGTTATCCGTATCTTACATCCGGCGATATCTACATCAGTTAGTGATTTAGGATATAATGCAAAAGCAACAGTGTATACAGCTATATCGAATTCTGGAGAGGATCCAACAAAAATACCTCCTATCGGTTTTTCATATTTATCCTTATCAATATAAGTTAGACTGAGTAGTCGGTCATTACATATCTAGGATGAGAGAAAATAAAATAAATGAAATTGAATTGAAGTGATGTTTGGTTAGGTCGGAACAGCAATTGATATAGAATAATATGAATTCGATATATTTTGTGGTTTCTCATCAGCTGCTTACAACCATTCACGTATTGAAAGGTAATATTGAGTAATGATATGATGTGAGACGATTGAGATTGATCAGGTAAGGAATTAGAATGATAAAGGTTATCAATAATATATATGTGTAATAGCTCGGCATCCACTTGACACCGAATATACCACTGACATCCTACAAACCTTCAACATTTTTGACGGACAAGAAGAAGCAGCTTGTCTTCGGTTTGTAGAAGAAACGGCGATTACAATTTCAGGCGGAGTTATAGTAAATTTACTATACTAAAATGCTGTCTAGAAGAATGTTGTTGCGAGTAAATACATAAAAAGTGTTAAAAATTTTCAAGTAACCTAGTTGAGTTGTGAACAGTTTGACATCAGGATAGTTCAACTTGTTGAAGCTTTATTACAATGCTTAAGAGTAAATCCGGTTCATTTGCTATATTTTTCACAAACACTTCATACTAATAAAGTATCACCTATTTCTATTTACTGTATGTTAATGTTTTCGATTTTACGTTTTTGCTCAAATAGTATGCGTTTACAGACTAGACAAATACATTTCTACAGTTAAACGTTGGTTTTGTGATACAATCGAATGAAGGGAAATTCCAATAGGTTTTTCTGAACTGGATCCTTAATCCATCATTTTATATGTTACTCATCTATCATGGAATTGTACAACAACAATTTAATTTCAATAGTTGAGATCATGAGTCCATTGAAGCTAAACTACCATGGAAAACCCACAATAGAACAAAATGACCGTCCAATGCTTCCAGTTGTTCCATGGTGGTCTAGTTTCAATTAATTCACTACCTTAACTTTTAAAATGACTATAATATCCACAAAAGAAACCCATTTCGATGTTAACAATTTAATTGTTAGAGAATATACGTAATTTGCAAATATTATTCATATTACTTACTTGCAAATGTCGGTCTGTTTCTGAATATATCTTCATTAACAAATTCGAACAATGGCTTAGTTGACAAATCTACAAGCTTTCTAGTATTCTCAAGATTTGCTTTTAATAAAATGAAATTAACAAACGAATCATGAATTAGGTATACCAAATAATGATATTCACTTCATTGTTATGCAGAAAAATATTAAATCAAAGATTGATGAAGTGGTCCTTTATGATGGAGAATCCTAAAAAAAATATTTCATAATGTGGCAAGATTATAATAACTTATGGACGAACCAATCAGGTATAAGATAACAAGTCTCGGATTTTGGCACAAAATTCACTCTACCATTTGGATATATAGAGTGTTGGCATTATAGCTGATATCAGTTCGTGACGAAGACCTGAAATTTAATTCATAAGCTTAATCATGTACTAAAAATCACAATTCGAATTCCTCACACATGATCATAACCCACATTTAGTGCACATTTTTGAGTGGACACTCTCAACGTTAGTCTGGTGTCGCTCAAAGATCTTTCATAAATTATAGTTTCACTCATAATGTTAATGCAAATTAACTTAACTAAAAAATCTAAAGCAAAATCTTGAACTACTAATAATTTGTTTCAAAGATAGAATTACATCTACTGACATACCAGACATATGGGCGCATAAATAACACAGGTTATGAGCTTATTTTGACGGTTGGATAGATCTAAGGTTTCGGAAAGCTATTGTATTTCAGGTACTGAATATATTCGATATTAGATATGCCAAATTACTTAATTTCACTACTAGATGTAAAACACACACTATAACATTTCAACGATACATCATTCAAAATTAAACAACAATATTTTCTTATTTCATAAATTTCCATTGTTCTTAGTCAGAGATGAACAGAATCATAATACAATGTTAAGTTCATGATCACTACATGAGAATTCGAAAAGAAGGAAAGAATAGATGAAATTGGTGAACAATCGGCTAATTCTGTAGACATTTAACGCATAACTAGCACATGAGTAAACTAACACTTTACACTCTCCAGCAACATTTCAACCAGTCGTGTTCGTAATCAATCACCAATAAATGAAATGACTGTTTCCATTCACAGTATTTGCCTCGTAACTGACAGTGGAATTCAAAAGTCACATTCCGTTATATCTCGTTCTGGTCAGTCGGATGGATCAACATCCAAGCAATGATGTTCACAATGAGACGCGAATCCAACAAGCATCACCTCAAATACCAACGGTTAATCCAATAACATACTCAGTACAATTACTTACTAATCTCTATGAATTTATCTGTGAGAGTCTGTGAATTCCCATTCATCTAATTACTTTTGAATTTCAGTAGTCATTTCAGTGTAATGGAATCGAGGAACAATGTTGATGAACTCAGTGAACAAACAGAGAAATTACTATAAAGACTTTTTAGGTCAGTATTCACTATGTCTATAGAGATTGACAAAAATGGAATTGGAATTACCTTGTAAATTGAGTTTGTAATCTATACCAGATCGAAGTTTATTCTCATCCGCTTTGTACAGTTTCGTATAGAATTTACTCAATTCCTTATTTTCCCCATGTTGTTCATTGTGATCCGACACTCTAAAAGTTGTAATAAATCGTCAATAATGAAACATGAAAATCAGTAATTCATTTAATTTAAAACGAGATTCAAAGTATATAAACTGTTATTCATGTCCGTGAGACGAGATTTATCGTATAGCGTCAGCTATCAGTGGGGATCTTTAATCTGAAATGACACCAAGGTAGGTGTTCAGAAATTCAAAGCATACTGTACAGTCATTCGATTCCGGATGAATTTACTTCGACTTGAACTTAGAACTCAATCTAAGTGGTTCCAACACGTCATGAATAAATTGAAATGAATGCAGATTTTCAAATGATGATGACAGAATAGCCATCGCTTGACAGTGTTTGTACAAGTATTCTGTCTCAAATACTCACACTGACAGAAAATCACATCACAAAGTAAGCTTAAAATCAAACAGTCACTGTAAATAATTTTGTGTTTTAGTTGCAGTTATCACAATGAAGTTATGTTTAAGTAAATTCCATAACTATTAAGTCCAATGTTTAAAATCTTTGCATTCTAAATAAAATGATTAACAGAATATTTGACTTCAATTTCCCTCCTCCGTTTATTGAAATTAGAGTGATTTGTACGCAACAAAATGACTGATCGTCATAAGTGTTTATAATAACAGCATGTAGGACAAATATTAAAATGTGATCGTTAACTACTCTAGTCCGTTGTGAACTATAATAGAGCAGTGAAATCTATACAAGGTGCTTTCAAAACTATCCGGAACACATCACAATACACAAATGTTATTCATGTGTTTTGAACAATCAACATAAAAACGAACAACTCTACAATATCATTGGATTGAGTGCATTGAATATCGATTACAAATCAACTAACTAATGCAGTTAAATAATTCAAGGTAAAACATAAAGGAAGTAAACATCTGAATTATCAGATACAAAATTAGTACAGATGTATTGAGTATTCGATATTTTACCAGTGATATTATAGTATTACTTAAATAACACATAATGCAATCAGTAGTAGAAAATAAATTGACAAAAGACGTGTCTTAATTTAGTGATTATCAAATTGTTCTGACAGACATTAAAGAGAACCACAAATCTTGAGTAAATGATTCGTTGGATTTTGTTTTTCGAAAGGAAAACAGAATTCATTTGAGTTAAACATTTGCTTGATCAATTCATTGTAAATTATTTAATTTTCGAATATTGTTTTGGTCAATTTATTTTACTTTCACCTATCAATGACACTCTTATTTTTCTTTTCTTAACTTAGTGAATGTCGAAGCTAAAGGACATTAGAATATAGTGAACATGTTTTATTCTATCCTCTTTCAAATAAACATTTTATCGTGCATAGAAAGATCTCCTAGTTAAATTATAATCCATGAGTCAATTGAAGCTAGACCACCATGGAAAACCTGGAAGCACAGGACGGCCGTTTTTTCCTAATATGCGATTCCTCAGCAATGAGTGTCCACGATCCTGTCTCGCGAGATTCAAACCCAGGATCTGCCAGTCTCCTGAGCAAGCGCTTAACCACTAGAGCACTGAGTCGGCATCCAACAGTGTTAATGTCTAACTTCAACCAATTCATGAAGTTGCGCCACCAACCACCATTGTCAATATGGTGATCTAGCTTCAATTGACTCATGGATTCAACTATTAAATTACTATAATATCCACAAAATCCCTCTCTGATTATACCACAATCATCACACATTGATATCGTTACATCATTATGTTCACTCATCACTGTGTTGTATAACTTCTCATTTCAGTAATCAGTTAACGTACAAAATTTAACTTTTAATCTAATCATGTAGAAACAAATTTACTTCCAGATTAAATTATTCATAATGTTTACTATTGTTTAATATGGAGACTATTGAATATGAAATTTCAAATCCAATAATCTGCATTACAGCCTATAATGATAATCATCATATATCATCTTGTGGTTAACTTCAAATCACGGATCTCAGAGTTCTACTTAATAAGGCTAAAACTAGTGAAGTTTAACAACATCGAGTTCGAGATGAATATCACTGTTGATGAAGGATAATGGCAACTTTATGTTATGAATTTATTGAAATTAAAAGTACAAATTATTAGATGCTAATTCAGTGATCTAAAGACTAAACACTTGTTGAAATGTCTGAAGGCCTTGGATTCGATCCCACCTAGGATGATTGATACATAGTACTGAAAAGAGTCTCATTAGTCTAAATTCAATTAACTAGTAATCATTTTGTCTACAGAATAAGAATGAATTATTTGATGATCATCTGTTTTCTGAATACAAACTACATCATATCTCAGAAGTTGAACGCATAAATGAGATAAAGAAATACAAGCGTTTCAATAACAAATAACTAACAATTTATTATTCGAAACAAAATAAGCAACTAATTCTTATACTACTCAAAACATTTATTAAATATACAACGCTTACTGGCATGACACAAACTGTAGAACCTGCAAATACACAACAATTTTAATGATTTGAATAACACCAATCTTGAATACTTTCATCATTTCAAAAGATTCAATTATATTATCCTCGTTACTCGTCCATATATATACACTGTAGAGCACCACTAGTATTAATAATGTAAGTACACACATACATACATAAATATACAAATGCACAATTGTTTGGTTAGCGTTATAGCGCAATTTGTTGAATTCATATTATTGGGAAATAGTCTACATATTTCTATCAATGGTTATTTAGGTTGATTGACATAACCCCTGTTAAACGAAAATGTAAGCATTATGGTTAATAACAAAAGCTCTTAAACTAAGTACAAGAATTTATTCACAATCGTATTAAACAGCCTAATAAGAACTGACCGATGTCTTAATGAGTAGAACAACTCTGACCAGTAATTAATCACAAATAAGGTGCCGTGCAACTCTCCAGCAAATATAGTAATAGAATCTGAAATTGGTCTCTCTATACATAAGTAGCAAAATACCTTTCCATTGAACACTATATCCTTTTAGATTCTTAGTGTCCTATTGTCTTCCACCATTAAAATGTGTCTGTCTAAAATTTCACAATAAGATTAGAAAGTAATGTGAGGAAACCGCCTAAAATAGCGTTTAAGCCACTTAAACTTCACCTAGAGACCTACTGCGATTACTGACAGTCTTAAGTCCAAATAGAGAAATAGGGTTGGGCATTAGGTTAGCAATCCTACCCCGTAAAATACCGTTCTTAAAAATTACTGATCATGAATATTAAACTCGTGATAATTATTAATTTTGGCCAATGTTGAGGTTGACTTTTGACCTATATAATAGTTGAAGTGTTCAGCAGTGAACTCTATCAATTTAACTACCCAAAACAATCATATGAAAATGAAAACTATAAAATTCCTTTGGTAAACAGAAATCATGTAATGCTAATATATAACTGAGACCAGTGACTGATTTTATTTTCAATCCTAAAACAGGGATAAAGTATAAATCTTGTTGTAGAAAATATAAAGATTCGTGCACAGTGAAGTGGTTTAACTAAATGGTGATGCAAGATTGTGTTCTCTTCATAGGAAGTCGAAAACAGGCAAATATATTAAGTATACAAATTTTATTTTGTTAGAAACTTCTAAGATCATACTAATTTTATTGCCGATTCATTGTAAATGTAAAACACGACATGAAACCAAACTAAATTAGAAGAGAAATAAATGTAATACATTTCTTCACTCTGAAATCGACGCGATAATAGAAGTTTCACTGTATAGCCGATCAATTACAAAGACAAAATTAGCTGGTTAGTTTTGTGGTAGTCAAAACATGTTAAAACATACCCATTCAAAACAACTATCAATAACTTGAACACAAAGATAGGTTTTGTAGCAGTCATAGTGTTTCACCTTCCAATAGAAAAAGTCTTAGTCGGTTCCTTGTACAGAGAATAATACCATTTTTGTGTCTTGAACATTCATTCAGTTGAGAAACAAACAGAGATTGATAATTTGACAATCGGAACACATGCCGATCTCCAAATTAGCTTTCGTTTGGCGATTATTTCCACTTCTCAGAAAACATTCAAGACACTTAGATCATGTTCAACACCAAAATGTCACATAGTGGCAGAAGTGTTTCCCACAATATAATAGAATTGGTGTGAAATGGATTTTGATATCTCATTGATGTCCTGAATGTTTCATGGAGCATATTACCTTACCAACCATCAAGATTCCGACTTGCTGGGGATTGGTCAGATGTTATGATTATGAGATATCCAGCTAAATTCTGTCTGAATGAGATTTCCCTTTACAAGCCTGAATCTCAATATTAGATCAATAAATTCATGTATCAGTAGCCAGAAATTTAATAATAATAACACATTGGTTGCGGCTGTTTTGACATTTACCAAGTTCGACCATATTTTCAGAAATGTTATTCATATATGATACAACATAATAATAAAATCTTATAGAGAAGAATGGGAAAATAATAATCAGTAAGAAAGATCTATTTTTGAAGCACTTTTACAAATGTACGTTTATTTAATGAACACAAATTCTGGTATATATGAGCACAAAGGTACTATGCTTCATATAACTAGAGAAATAACATTGCTAATAAATAAATAAATAAGAGAAGGAAATTACATTTCAAAAAAAGTAAGTTCGTAAGACTTGCACACAATAAAGAAAACTACTCGATTAAACACGCAGTTACGAAACAATTCTCACATTTAGTTGAATCTCTCTTAGACTACACCACCCCATACATTAGGGAAACTGAATTCTTACCTAGATATAGCCTTACTATTAGTAGATTCGTAGTCATTATATTTAAATTTTGCTCCAAAATAATAAGGGTATAAAAATGGTTAAGTGGAAAGTTCATCCTATTTATAATTTACCGAACATGTATGTACACCTCTTTCTCTTTGAATCATTTTGAAAGACTTTATAGAGTATTCATGTAACTGTAAATCAATGACTAAATATTTATACATTTACATGAGATGAAACAAACTGAATTATTACCTAAATTCATATTACTACCAACGGTTAATAATATGGACACTGAGGATCACATATTCTTTCGAGGAATTTAGTGTCTAATAAAATATTATCCTACGCGATTTCCAGCCAGTTTATTGATTAAGCTTACGAAATAACTGCGTCGTCAGAATTATTGTCCAATGCTCCTAGCTTATACTAATCGACATAGATAAGCTGTAACTACATAGTTCTGAGTCTTAAAATAATCTCATTTAACCTAGTATTCATTTATAAGTCTAAAAAAGAAACTGTAAAGATACGAAGCATAAAGTATTATAGTGGTCTGTCTATGGGTTGTTTGGACAGCCGCCAATTCAGCTTGTATCTAATCAATTACAAATGACTGAGTAGCAGAAGTTTTACCCGTAATTTTGATAACAATTTCAATTATCCATGTTACGTGATTTGCCCCTTCTTCTCACATTTAAGTAAACATAACTGGACGTCCTAGTCCAAAATTATTATCTATTACTGACTAAAACATTATCATACTTACACGGTAAAATGTTTCATGCCACATCCTCACTTCTTATTTTTGATGTTGTAATCTTTTTCTATACCAACTATGCCAGTATGCTTTAGATATAGTTCAATTTAATAATTGC